GTGTGTGTGTGTGTGTGTGTGTGTGTGTGTGTGTGTGTGTGTGTGCGTGTTCAGTAGCCTTCATGCATTCCTCATATCCTCACACTCTTGGCAGGATCTTACAGAGACACAAACACCACCTCATTCCTGAGATGAGGACTTATTTTCACAGTTATCGCTGGTTATTTACATTTAATCCTCCACTTTAAAGGTTGTGAAGCAAAACCAAAAAAAAATTTTATTACAAAGTTATTGATATTTAACTTCGTTCATGTCAGAGTATGCTAAATTTTCACTTTAGTGTTAAAACAAATTTGAAATTTAATGAAATTCTTTACATTTTTTTAGCAGAGAGTTGTGCGAGGACTCCATGAACCACTCGGTTAGCTCAGCGTCGAGCCTGGACAGCCACGCCCACTCCGAGAGCAGCAGCCAATCACAAACCACGAGGTGGGAGGAGCAACAGAAGCTCCTTGCTCTGGAGCAGTTGTGCGGTGTTTTTAGGGTGYACCTGGGTCACATGAGGTCACTGAGACTCTTCTTCAGGTCAGCAAAAAGTAAAAAATAAAATAAAATAAAAGTCACAAGGAGTTCACGAGAGCTGCTTTGATGTCTTGTTGTTTTCAGGAGTGATTTGTTGTTGTTTGTTTTGTTGCAGTGATGAAGCGTGCACTAGTGGCCAGCTTGTGATAGCCAGCAGAGAGAGCCAATATAAGATCCTGCACTTCCATCACGCCGGCCTGGACAAGCTGGCCGAGGTCTTCCAGCAGTGGAAGTGCTGCAGGGAAACTCAACCTAAAGATCAGGTGGATGCCGTTAAATAAATAAATAAATAAATAAATAAATAAATAAATAAATAAATAAATAAATAAATAAATGTTTAGTCATAATTTTTTTCTGTTGTCATTTCCCTTCAGGTGTCAGATGAAAAGTCTTGCATGCAGTTTTCCATCCAGCGGCCGACCCTGCCGTCCGCCGAGACCCACCCGGAGGAGAGGCTGTACCGACGGCTGGACGTCACCACCTGGCTGCGTCACCTCAACCACAGCGGACAGGTGGAGGAGGAGTACAAGCTGCGCAAGGTCAGCCTGTATTTATGCGGATATTTCGACACTCCCGAGGGGTCGGCCGGGAGAGTAAATGGCTCGTATTGCGCCGTACAGAGGACGCATTATTTTCACCAGCGTTGCTCAGCGCTGCGCAAGAAAAACAAAGAGTGTTTATTCAGCAAGTCTTACAAAAACCYTGCTTTTTCTGTTTCTGCAATGTGGCCTTTACCGAGGAAACATCTCGATCACAGCCTAACTGCCGCTGAGTCATTACAGAAGGATGGTAAACACAAACCGAGTCAAATCCAGAGGAGTGAAATGACTCAGAGGGGTACGCCGGCCAAGAGTAACCATTTCAATATTTACAGAGAGACGTGGTGATTGAAACTGAAAGTTAGACACCGTGGAGCTGGATTTCAAGATGACTTGAGAAAAATGTGTGAAAATGTGAAGCTCGACTCTGTGAATAAACACACTTTGTTTTTCTCTGCGGCACTGAGCAAAGCTGAGAGGAAAAAAAAAAACCCGTCCTCTGTCCTTCAAAGCGGGCTGTGTCACCTTCACCTCTGTGTGCGTGTCATGTTTGCAAACTGTTCCATTCTCACAGTTATCACTTGTGCCCCCTGTTTGCCCTCTGAACGCTCCCTTTGTGCTCATCCTTTTTTGCCCCCCTCTTCCAGGCCATCTTTTTCGGCGGTATCGACCCATCCATCCGCGGCGAGGTGTGGCCCTTCCTGCTGCACTACTACAGCTACGACTCCACCTCTGAGGAGAGAGAGACCTGGAGGCAGCAGAAGCGTGCTCACTATCGCGACATCCAGCAGAGGAGGTGGGCAAATAACAAAAAAAAAAACATCAGAGTGCGACCTGGCTGTTGAGAACATCTGTGCCATTAAAGGGTCATTTGACTGAATAAAAAAAATCACTTTGATTAAAGCATCAGCAGCGTGCTCGGCTCCGTCAGCCAGCAGATAATCCGTCACGCGGCCGCAGCACCGGCTGCCAAAACCGCTCACTCAGTCAAACATTAAACCATATGTGAGTCTGTTGTGGCTTCTCATCGCAGGCGCTGAGCAATCAATACACACAATCAGAGAAGTGTTAAGGGGAGGTGCCGGGTGTGATATAAAAGGTCTCTAGAGGAAAAACATGTCAGCACTTATCAGATCATACTCTCTTGTCAGAGGGAGGGAAAAAAAAGAAAAAACAGCTTTGGTATGCACAAACACACAAGCAGATCCAAGAGACTTTAATATCTCCTCCCTGCCATGGAAAGGTTAATGGTGCACATATTTTCACACGTTCTGTCGCTCTGCCTGTAATGAATGTGATAATTGGACAGGTTTCATCTGTATGGACTATTGAGTACAGCAGAAGGTCTTATCAAAGGGATTTAATTAGAGTCCTTGTTCTGACTCTGATGTTGATTTTTATAAAGACTCTGGAGCTGGAGCAGCCTCCAGGGCCACTAGTTGATCATTAAAAGCGGGGATGTATATCTGTAGCTTGATTCCTTGTCCCCTAACCCTGTGTCCTTCACTTAGCTGCGATAAGTAAACATGAGGAACACAGAAAAACAGTTTCTGATTTCGCAGAGACTGGATATTAACTGGTGTGTTCAAGTTAATCATAATGTACGTATAAAGAGACAGTGGAAAAACAAAAAAAATATAAGATTTATAAGTCTTTAAAAAGTTTATTTTATAGTACAAAAACGGACAAAAAAAGATAAACTACTGCTGCTTTAGTTTTTTTTCTTTTAAGAAACTGTTACAGTTTTGTGAATTAACAAGCTTCATTCTTGATGTAAAAAAATCTGTCTGTGGTCGTCTGGAAGTCTCGTTATTTATGGTGAAAATGTCTGAAATTCTAAAGAACTCTATTTTAGGTTGAGATTTGTTTGAGAGGAAGGAGGTTGTTCTGCTTTGCCCATCAGTTAAGTTCCTTTTATTAATAAATACATCTTCACAAATGTTCAGAGCTCAGCTGCAGTTTCTCACATTTCACAAATGTTTTAATGGACTGAAAAGACTTGACCATTTTAAAAAAAGCTGCAACCACCAAATTCACTTTTACATTTAATTTAAATAAAAAAGGCATTAAAACTGTTTTTTAAATATGATTTTTTTATTACCTCTGCTGATTCATTGTTTGTTGATTGACATATTTAGTAACTCTACATTATAATTTCTCTTTTTTTACATAGAGTTCGAAAATAATAAGAATAAAATAATATTTTGCGATCAAATGGATCACTTTCACATTAGGTTTATCCACACTTCACCTTTCACTCCTACATGTTTGAGTTTTTATTTGAAAATCCCAGATTTCCTCCTTGTTGGATTTGCTTGAATCAAGCTGAAACTGAAATTGCCCTAAAACACTTGATGATTTAAAACAGAACTCAGTAAAAAAAAAAAAACAACAAAACAGTTTTTGAAGCAGAAATGACCTCAGAACATTTCACCACCTGCTTTGCGGTTTCCTGAAAGATTTGTTTGAGGGTTTTGTAAAAAAAAAAAGTTCAAACAGGTCCAGTCTGTTTTTTCTTAGAACTGGAGTTAATCCAGTTAGTGAAAAAAAAAAAACTTAATAATACAACAAAAAACTCAATATGGATCCAGATCATTTAAACTCTGATGAAAATAAGTCACTGTGGACATCCTGGCTCTGAAATATTGTGGTATTTTCATAAAAAAAAAACTGTGAGTTCTGTTATTTGTGTATATTATGTGAAACTTTCATCCCTGATCAGAGAAAAAGTCATGCTTCTCAGCTGTAACTGGTGCTAACTCACAAAACCCACTGAAATATAAAGTGATAAAAACACGTTTCCAAACTCCTGAGCTGCGTCCTCCGGGGACCGAGAACCACACGACGGTGGCTGGGGAGGGTCCAGCGATGCAAACACCCGGCGCTGAAACTAAACAGTTGCGTGGCGTTGCATCAGGTGTGTGTGCGTTATTCCTTCTGGGGCCTCGTGGAAAACAAACAATGTTAATTAAATCCCCTCTGCTTGTTAGGACTTGAGTACATCAGCGGCGCACACACAGAACATTTTTGATGTACTCCCCAACATCTAGAGCGACAACTGGGGGGCTTCATGTTTGTGGTTTAAGTCTCCGAGGACCACTTTGGGCCACTGCCCCCCCCCCCCCACACACACACACACAATTTTTTGTGCATTTACAGCTAACTATTAAAGCTTTACTCCAGAGGAATATTTTCACCAATTACTCTATATGTTTGGGATAATTACTGTGCAGGAGAGAAAAAAACTCTTTCTTTTGCCCTTTAATTTAAATAAGTGAGTTCTGTTTGATTTGTGTGATTCTTCAGATTGTCCATGAGCCCAGAGGAGCACAGCGAGTTCTGGAGGAAGGTCCAGTTCACGGTGGATAAAGACGTGGTCAGAACGGACCGCAGCAACCAGTTCTTTAGAGGAGAGAATAACCCCAACGTGGAGATCATGAGGTCAGATGTTTCATTTTTTTTGTTTAATCTTATTTCCGTCATTTTAACTCCGTCCACTTCCTTAGCTCGCCTCACAGCTACACTTAAAGGGGACCTATTATGCAAAATTCACTTTTTAAAGTTTTTTTTTACTCAACTTTGGGTATGTACTTCTTAAAAAAACAGTCCTAAGACAAAAAAAATGCACCCAGGGGCATATTTACTGTAAGTAAATGTATTTTTAATGTATTTTAATGACAAGTTTTATACTTCTGTCATTTTGTGATGTCACAAGCTGTATGACAACCCACCGGAACCTGCGTTCAGCCCCTTAACTAGCAACCCCTGGGTGAAACTCCACCTCCTCAGTATAAAAAGCCGCCACGGTTGTTGTTGTGCAATGCGCAGCTCATTTTACAACAGGCCTCCAATAGGGCAATGGGTAGAGTGTTGGACCAGAGAGTGGGAGACCAGGGTTTGAGACCAGCATGGACACAATTTAATTATTTATTTATTTTCATTTGTTATGAACACGTTTTCTCATGTACCCCTCATTGTTTAGCTTATTAAAGCCTTGTTAAAGCCTATTTGTTGGAGTTTCTGAGGTATTTTGACCGCTGCTGCTCCCTGCTCTGGTAACAGTATGCAGAGTGAGCGCAGAGCAGAGGAGGGGGAGGAAAAAAAAAAGAAGCTGGGACCATGACTCTGTACGGTTGTACAACGGAGCTTCTGCTATTGTTAGCCATGCTAACGCTGGCTTTGGAGGGCGGAGTTAATGTCAACAGATTTTTGGAGGGCGTTACCAACAGAGCTCATTAACATAAACAGCTCTTCTGAACGGAAGTCAGAGCAGGCAGAACTAGAAAATGGGAAATTTTACTATCTGAGAATTATTTTGTGCATTAAACTGAATGAACATGGTCTGGATAGCCCACAGACATACCATAAAAATTTCTAGGACCCATAATTGGTCTCCTTTAAATTTCAGATTCTGAACCCAGGCGGAACCTCAAATGAGTTTCATGCTTTATTGCCTTAGACTCAGCCCTCTGATGATTTCTGATGCGTGCTCAGAGCTAATGGCTTCTTAAACGAGAGGCAAGAGGATTTGAATAGTGTTGCGTCAGCGACTCCTGGAGTTGCACCTTTTATATGTCTGAAGTGAGTCAAAGTCAGAGCTGCACGTTCAGAGCAGTTCTCTGACTTCCCATCTGTTTCTCAGATCTTACTGATGAATCACACTCTTTTATCTGCTTCATTCAGTTTTAAACGTGTTGTTTGAGCTGGAGAGGCTGGRATCTCTGTGTTGTGGCTCCATAGAAATCATCAAATTTTAACCTTAATGCAGCAGCACAACAATGCACCGTCCTCTGGGTTTTGGCTTTGTTTATACGATACTTATTAATGCATGAAGACTGCCAGGGAAGTTTTCTTCAAAGTAGTGCACGTCTCAAAAAAAGAAAGAAATTGTTAATTGGCTCCCTGGTTCCCAGCAAAGTTGTCATAGCAACTGCTAAAGGAGAGATTGTTGCGGGTTTTTTTTWAAATATATTACCACTAATGTTGAGACACGTTGGTTCATTCAAAGAGTTTGAATGAGTCTTTCTGAGGGTTTTGTCCGAAACATAAGGAGATTTTATTTAACATGATCAAAACCAGTGAGATATTTTCACCCACTTAAAGCAGAGTGAGGTGGAGATGCTCCTGCAGCACTATGACGTCTCTGTTTGTTCCTCCCTCAGGCGAGTTCTGCTCAACTACGCCGTCTTCAACCCCGACATGGGTTACTGCCAGGGCATGTCCGACCTGGTCGCCCCGCTGCTCACAGAGATCCAGGACGAAAGCGACACCTTTTGGTGCTTTGTCGGCCTGATGGAGAACACCATCTTCATCAGCTCCCCGCGGGATGAAGACATCGAGCGGCAGCTGGTAGGAGGATTTACTCTGCTTCTTTCAGGATAATGTAACAGTGGCAGAGTCGGTCTGATCCAAATTAAACTATTCCACCAAACTGAGGTTGTTTACAGCAGGTGACAGCAATATTGTTTGTAGACAAGTTCAAACACAACTCGTGCTACAGTTTGCAGGCTGTAAGGATTTTTAATGTTCCTCCCCAAACAGCGATCTCCATTCAGGCTATTTTTAAAACACCAGTCCCATGAGCACGTCTGCTCAACACCCGTGTTCTCAACTCTTGCAGTGACTTCACTGGTTTCAATCACAGTGTGAGGTTTAGCTGTGTTTAAACTTAAAGAAATTCATGAAGACAGCATCAAACTCCATCGGATGGACCAGGAAACATTGGGCCTCATGCAACAACATGTTCGTATTCTTATCCWAAATTTCTCTTACTTTTGTTCGTACGAAGGGTTCGTACAAACATGTCACGTCAGATTCAACAAACTCTTCTATCTTCAGGAAAAGTGTGTAAATGAGCTGCGTAAATTCCACCTGTTCTATCCAGCTG